TCCATAAATGTTGGGGCTTAATCCTTGAATGGGACTCTGGAATGCCAGTTTAAAGCCTGTATTTTCTCCATCTTTGTAACTTAATTCTATTACTGCCTTTCCCCGAAAATAAGACTGGGTCTTATATTAAATTTTGCTGCAGAAAACACACCAGGGCTTATTTTCAGGGGATGTTTTATTTTTTTCATGTACAACAATTTATTGAAATACAGTCATGTCATCTTCTGGTTGCTGCAGAATGGTGGAGGGCGAGATTTCACTTACCTGGGTCTTATTTGGGGGGTAGGGCTTATATTACGAGCATCCTGAAAAATCACACTACGGCTTATTTTCAAGTTAGGTCTTATTTTGGGGAAACAGGGTATATGTTTTGAAGAGTTGTGGAAAAGAATTGCATGTGCAACTGTTGTAGAAAGGCAGTTTCCTTATTAACTGCTAAAAACAGATTAGATCTTTTCATTTTCTGTGAGCTGGCAGACCTAGCATATCTTCATAATCTCGATATGTAGGCAGCAGTGGATAATATTATGCGACTCCATTGTATTTGTTCATAGCATTGGGCAGGTGTTTATGTTTTAATTCTAGCATATTTGACTCTTTCCCTATTCTTCACACAGCAGTAGTTCCTTGGATTCTGTTGAGAATGTTATTGTCGTGAATTGTTAAAAGTGGGACATGAGTAGGTTACAGAAGAAGAGCAAGCTTTTGTAAAAGAAGTCTTTACCACTTTTAGAAAAGGTCAAGTTAACAAATACATGAACTACAAGTGATGAAAGGACACGTGTTATGGTTATCTTTTTTTAAAAAATAGTTTCATAGCTCAGAGTTCTGCTGGTAATTTCCTATTCTAATGGCTATGTGGCAGGTACGGATACATTTCAGAATAGTTCTTCCATGCTTAGTTCTGATTATGACCTGTGTAGGAAAATCATTACTTTTTTGTCCTTTTGTTCAGATACAATATGCCTGCTTGGTTTTTCCAATATGTTTAACATATTAGTATAATACATATAAATGTAGTACTAGGCATATAAATGTGAAGTCTGCATTGCTGTACAGCATTACTTGAATTTTGGCACAGAATCAATATCAGGAATAGGAAGCAAGGATAATTATAAAGCATTGCTGAAAGCTGTTCACATTTCTTGTAATCTTGTGAGATATCTCTGATAGCCAGGAGAACTATGTTGGAATTAGAATGGTTTGCACCAGTGGACATGATCTTTGTTTCATGCTATAGTCCTATTTTTACCTGTAGTGTTTTGGAAGAAATAGGTAATATGAAAGCATAAGGGCTCTTTTAGATTAATTTTACATTGTTTATTAATGATAATTTTAAGTTTAGAATGAATTAGTATCATATAAGTATGTACATCAGTGTTGGTTACGGTTGTCTAAACAGACATGAAGTACTCCTGTGCACTTAAGCTCTATTACATACGGTACAAACACGATGCTACTGTTACTGTTTATCTTGTTATCTTTCCATATAGCTCAGTGAAGTATACACTGTCCCCTCCTGTGTCATCACAACTCTGAGAAACGTTTTCCTAAGAAATAATAATTGGCCCGAGATCATCCAATATGATTTATGAGTGCATGGAGATGTGAAACCAAGGCTTTTTTATTGTAATTCAGTAGTATAAACACTATGCTGTTTTCAATATACATGAGAATATTAGAATTAATTTCCTGATCAGTGAGAAAATATATGATCTAAAATATGGACAAAAGAAAGCAAGAAAAATAGGAAAGACAAAAAGAAACTACCAGCTCTTGAAGACTGGAGTTTGACAGCACGTATTTCCACTTTCTTGTTACTCTTGTTCAATTTCTTGTAATTTATTTTTTTATCGTGTTTTAATATTGTTGCTCATACTGTTGTTTGCTGCCCAGAGTAGCCTGGTTGCCAGATGGTGTGGGGTACAAATTCAATAAATAAATAAATACCACATTCTAATTCTGACTAGATGTGGATGTTCATGGTCTTGCAGCTCTGCTATCTTGAGTGTTTAGTTCAAATTCCATAAATTCAGCCAAGGGTCTTCTGTATGCAGTACAGGCAGTCTGCCACAGAGCTTTCAGTTACACACCAGAGACAGTTCCAAACACTAAATGACCTCTGCATAATATTTGGTCTCCCTTGCCTTGGAGCAGTTACGATTAGATTCATTTTAATCTTAACACCATTCCATTTTTTCACCAAGTTATATATAGGAGAGGGAGACAATTAAGAATCATACCTAGGGGTAGATTTTGGCTGTGGCTCTGTGATTGCTGTCAAAATGTTTGGGCCAAGTAGACTAGGTAAATTGTGGCTGCAGGGTCTGTAAGTGCCAATATACATTTCAGGAAAATCGGCAGGAGGCTCCATCTTCATATTATGCCCAGATGGCTTCCTGACTGATATGATACACTAAATGTGAATGGCACAACTGTCACCATTTGAAGATCCGTTTGACGTCAAAGGCAAGGGTAGGTGATACCTCTACTAGATTGCTAAAAAAAAATTCATAAACATACCCTAGCTTTTGGTGTATATGGACCTTAATCTAGTGGAGCATAAATTATCCGTGGATGGTACAGTAGAAAACACAAGAGATCCAAAAACTGAAGCTTAGATGTCTTTGCCAGTTTTGACGCTGCAAGGTAAAGCCAGAAGTATTGGTTTATGTCTTCTTTGACATAAACTTTCTAGGTATTTTTCAGCAGATCCTTATCAATGTGGATTTAAAAGCAGTTTCATTGTTTCATGATTACAGTGGTGCCTTGACTTACGAACTTAATTCGTTCCAGAACTCTGGTTGTAACTCGAAGTGGTCATAAGTCAAAGCACCATTTCCCATAGGAATGCATTGAAATGCAATTAATTCATTCCAACAGAAGAAGAAAAATCACCAAAAAACCCAACAAAAACACTGCAAGACCCATCGGAAACACTATTAATCCATTCCGGCCGAAGGGGAGCGGAAGAAAAGCAAACAAACCATGCAAGACCCTTCAGAAATGCAAAAAAAGCTAAGCAAAAAGCAAGCAAAGCATGCAAGACCCATCAGAAATGCAAAAACAAACAAACCCCAAAGCAGAATGTAAGCAAACCATGCAAGACCCATCAGAAATGCAAAAAAAGCAAAGCAGAAAGCAAGCAAACTGTGCAAGACCCATCGGAAATGCAAAAAACCAAGCAAACCGTGCAAGACCCATTGGAAATGCAAACAAGCAAAGCAAAAAGCAAACGAACTGTGCAAGACCCTTCAGAAATGCAAAAAAAGCAAACAAACCCCGCAAGACCCATCAGAAATGGGGGGACCCAAAAAGCAAACAAACCCTGCAAGAACCTTTGGAAATGGGGGAAAACACAAAAAGCAAACAAACCCCCCAAGACCCATCGGAAATGGGAAAAAACAAACAAACAAACCCTGCAGGACCCATCACAGCACAGAAACATAATCTCACCACCCAGCTCAAAACCACACTGTAAAACCCACCCAGAACAGTTTTCAAAAAACAGAAAGCAGCACCTTACCTTATCAGGCAGTCGGAAGCCTCCTCTGATCGTACACTCTCTAACCGCTGGGGTGAAAGAGCTACAAAGAAGCAGCCTCTTTGCCACCAACAGTTAGCAATTTGAATTCCTCGCCTTTTTCCCCTGCCTTTTTCTGCTTGTAGCTTGAAGCTCCAGCCGCAAGTCAAAGTAAAATTTTGCAGCCAGAGCTGGTCGTAAGTCGAAATGGTCAAGGCACCACTGTATTTCTCAAGTGTGGCATGTGGCTTTTATTGAAATAATCTATAAAACAGATTTAGATTGACTCATTTATTCTATCTAGGCTTATATTTGCAATTCATTATGCAATGGTATTTTTATGTTATGAACTTTGTATTTTTTTCCAGTTCTACTTATCTTTAAAATATGTAGTAACATGTTTCTAAATGACTATAAAATAACTTAGAAAGTTATTGCAGAATGACAAATATGTATGCAAACAGTTTTCATTTAACATATTTAACACATAAAATAGTGACAGAGTAATTTGATAACAGCATATGTGTAATACGTATCTTCTTTCATCACTTGCATCAGATATATACACATGTGCACACATGAAAAACAGTTCCGTGCATATTTGCATAAAAGATTTCTAGTAAAAACATTGCTAGAAAAAAACACAGCGTAACACAAGTCTTCATAGCAAAGCTCGCTCACACATCTCCACTTTGGCCCCAGCAGGGTTTTATACTTACACATTGTGTTTTTGTCAAGTATTTGTGTTTCATGGGGGCTAGACTTAGGAAGGAGAAAGAGTCAAGACAAAAACTACCTGTTACATTTTGCTATCCTATTGGCTTGGAATAGCACATGACAGGCCATTGTTAAGAGAACCTTCCTGTGTCTGCGGCAAATGGTAGATCCACAAACAGAAAATAAAGCAGATTATTTGTTGCCTTCACTCAGATGGTGGGAAAGAGTAGATAGATAGAGCCTCTTTAATTAACAGTGTTTTGTTTATTTAAAATGCTTTAATGTTGCCCTACTGTTCAGAGTTTCCAAAGCAATTTACAATAACTATCTAAGGCACAATTTCCAAAAAATGTAATGTTAAAGAGGAAGAATGAAAGGAAGGATGTTACTGTTCTCAGTGTTGAAAACTCATTTGAGCAAATGAAGCTGTAGACCTTTTTTTCTCATGGGTAGTTTGTAATTAAATAAAATTAATCTTTGCCATACGAGCTGGCAAGCTCAGTTGCACATAGATAGGTCTATGGATTTAAATTATTTGTGGAACAGTTGATGTATAGATGGTGTTTATGCTTGTTTTTATTTTTTTATTTTTTTTATTTTAAGAATTGTGGTGTAATGCCAAAACTTCAAGAATTTTATTTTATCCATTCCTAGTTCAATTGGTATCCAAAACAAATGTTTTTATAATTGCTTATAGCTACTTTTAGGTTAGTTGCTGTTCATAGTAAATAATTAATACCCTCTGTGCTTCTCTTTACAGATTTTCCAAACCGTGCCTGATGCCACTTTCCCTCAGCCAATTTCTGCCTCAGTGTCTCCTCCAAATGCTCCACCACGACAATCAAGAAGACAAGGGCAACGTAATAAGAGGCCTCTTGCTGTATATAATCTCTGTCTTGAGCTGGATGACAGTAAGATGTTAATTATGTTTTCTATCTTGGCAGCAGAGTGCAGTTGCAGTATATCTTGTGTCATCAGGGCAATCTACAGTAGTTTTCCATTTCACTATTTCTATTATCATTTTTTAAATTGGAAAATGGAGAGAGGAGGCAGGCAGGATCCAGTCTTGAGACATACTACTGTATTTATCTGGGCTAAAGGAGAAATTTCCTCTCAATAAAAAGTTTTGTTTTTGTTTTGTTTTTGTTTTTGCTTTTGTTTTGCAAAATTTGTTTTACCTCTGCTGGCAGTTTAAAAACTGAAAGGTAAATGGAAGTAGATGAGAAACTTAAGTAAAACAGATCCCTAATAAACTGATAGAATAAATGCACTTGCATGTTTATTTAATCTGGACCAAAGGGTGAGTTCCGGCAAACAGCACTAGTATTGATAGCCACTGGACATGAGTTGATTGAACAGTTACATACAACCATGACCTACTAAGAGATGGAGCTGAAATAATTAGAGAAATAATATTTTGCCGGTTTAGAACAAAAAGTATGATATTTGCTTTGTTTGTACAGGATCTTTTTTATTTCTTTGAGGCTATAGTCTATTCTTGATAGGCAAAGTGAATTTAATAATGTATTCTAGTTGTTTCTCTGCTACTTCCCATAGTAAAAATGGGTTCAACACAGAAAGCATTGTTGCCAATAGGTATAATCAGTAGCTTTTTAATTTGGGATCATATACTCAGATGAAATCACAAAGTCAGCTAAACATACAGTATATGGAAGAATAAAAGACAGAAGAAACCAGCTATGAATACAATTATAACTATATGGAACACAGTCAGAAACCTAGATCTGGAATACAAATAAAAGAAATACTGTTTGCTTTCTGTACTTTTTCACTTCATTTTGAGATAGCAAATGTCCCCCACCTTCATAAATCTGCATGCTGTTGTCTATGTGCATCTTTAAAGATTACTATAGATCTCTCTTTTTTAAAAATTGTTCTATGCTATAGCAGTCAAGATGTACAAATAGTATATGTGTTGTACATGTGTAAAAGAATATAGTGCCATATGTTTTGAAAATAAAAGCTTTGTTGTTTGAAAAGATTTTTGGGTTTTAAAAATGCTTTTCAAAAAGTTTCTTATGTTCATCTTGTCAGAGGTACCATTTTAGTTAACTTCAGGCAAGAGCACTATGTTAGTCTGTTACAGAATACCCAACAAAAGTCTTGTGAGAGCTTAATGAATGGCTGATTTATTTTGGTATGAAAGCTTTTGTCACAATAAACGTCTTTATTAATTTTGAATTAAGGTGCCATGGCTTATGTTGATCAGGCCTTTTAAAATAGTAACTTCCTATTTTCAAACTTCATAGTTGAAACTCCTGAGAGTTTGAGCATGCTGGTAAAAGCCCAACAGTATTATAGCAGCCATTGATGGCCTATGGCTAAATGTTCTTTGTCCTTGCTACTCAGATCTTTGGATATCTTAAAACAGGGAAGAGCTATAGATTCTAAATTGCCATTTACAGAATACTTAATAGTAGCTGTTGAAATCCCTGTTGAGTTCTTTGAATAGTTTTTTTTTCCAGGTCAGGAGGCATATTGAAATCTTAATGTGTCACCACAGAGCTTTATGTAAGGACTCTGCATTGTCTCTTTTTATAGCTGTTTCATGCAACTCCTATCTGGAGGTTTATTTCCATGCTTCTGTAACCATCTTATTGGGATCGCTTATCCTGAAGCTCAGGGAATGTTGTGACTCACTGTTGAAGCAAAATTCTGGATCTTATTCCCCCCCCCCCAATATCTGAAGAACAAGGTGGTGCACACTGTTTCCTGTTTAGGTGTCAGATCGGAATAAAAATAGGGTGGTTGTTATGTGCTGTCAAGTTAATTTTGACTTACGATAACTCTAGGAATTAGTAGCCTCCATGAGGTCCTACCACTAATCACCCTGTTCTTGAAAGCCAAAGGTAAAAAGGTAAAGGTAAAGGTTCCCCTTGACAATTTTTGTCCAGTCGTGTCCGACTCTAGGGGGCGGCGCTCATCCCGCTCTTCAAGCCATAGAGCCAGCATTTGTCCGAAGACAATCTTTCCGTGGTCTCATGGCCAGTGTGATTTAGACACGGAACGCTGTTTACCTTCCCACCGAGATGGTACCTATTTATCTACTCGCATTTGCATGCTTTCAAACCGCTAGGTTGGCGGGAGCTGGGACAAGCAACGGGCGCTTACTCTGTCGCGTGGATTCGATCTTACGACTGCTTGGTCTTCTGACCCTGCAGCACAGGCTTCTGCGGTTTAGCCCACAGCGGCACCACATCAAAGGTAGTTACTTCATTTATTGAGTCTATCACCTCATTTTCATTTTCCTCTGCTCTTTCTGCCTTCAACATTTCCCAGCTTTATTGCATTTTCCAGTAAGTCTTCTCAGTATAGGCTCAAAGTCTGATAGCTTCAGTTTAGTTATTTTTACTTCGGAAAAGAATTCAGGCTTGATTTGATCTAGCATCCACTTATTTCTTTTTCTTTTTCATGCATTCAGATTCAAAGTAAACATTCTCCAATACAACATATTACTAAACAAAGACAAACAAGGAGGAAGTAATTTTCAAATCTCTCCACTGATTAGTTTACAAACATTGGTCAACCCTGTTCCTAATCTGTTGATGTCAGTGTCCAGTTTCTTGATGCAAAAATGCTGTGCTGAAACTGAAGGCACTTTTCTTTGGTAAAGCCTTCCTGAATGAATGAATCAATTTTTTCCTTGCCACCTCTCTTTATTGCCCAGCTTTTAAGGTATAGAAAATCTCTCCCAGTCATTTCAAGCTGTTCCTGCTTTCTGTCAGTAATATAGCATCATCAGCATATCTTCTACCAGTTTTCACTGCTTCTTCATCTGAATCTAACCCAGTATTTTGTATGATCCATTCTGCAGATACGAATAAAACAGCTAGGAAGATGAAATACCTTGTGTGACACCATAGCCAATGGAAAACCTTTCTGTTTCTCTATGTTCTATTCTTGCAGTAGTCCTGTTGTGCAGAGCATAGATTACACGTAAGGACAATCAGACTTCATGGCACACTTCTTTCTTTTAGAACAATCCATAGCTTTTCATGATTCACCCAGTCAAAGGCTTTGCTGTAAAATAAAAATTGATATTTCTTCTGAAATTCTTTAGTCTGTACCAGTAGCAGACCAAATTATCTTTGTGATATGATTTCTAACTCATCTCCTTTTCTGAATCCAGTTTGAACATCTGACATTTCCTACTCCATATATGGTAACTATGTTGGCTGTAAAATTTTAATCAATATTTAAACTTCCCTTTATGAAAGATATGAATTGTTTTTTCTTTTTTATATTTCTTTGCACTTACTATTGTAATAGTTCTTTTTAGTCCATATATGAAAGTTGCTGTAAAGTTGTATTTAGGATTTCAAAACTACTCCAGTCATCTTTTATTTTTGTTTCTCATCTGTTATTAGCAATTTTGTCAGTTGTCCCTTTAAGCTTTTATTTTCTTTTAACAAAAAGAACAGCTTTTTTTGATTCTTTCCCGATAATGCTTTAGGGTTCAATCTACAGTTCTTCTGGTTTATGGGCAGTTGAGTTTAGTCATGTAAATCTTTATGGATTTAGCATGCATCAGAAATTGATGATTATTATTTAGATCATATTATGGCACCGTAAATGTTTTAATGTTCTTGTTCAGCTCTGCTCTAATTTTAGAGAATAACAGTTCATAGACTGTGTCACAGTCCAGTCCCAATCTTGTTTTGTTTAAGCGAATAAGTCTTCTGTACTTTCTGCTTCTGGTTATGTAATCTATTTTGTTTTATTTATGTATTAGTTATCTCATGATGTTCATGTGTACAATGATTTGTTCAGTTGTTTGAAGCATTTATTTGTAATGAATTATGTGGGCTTCATATAATTCTATGAGTGATTTGCTTATACTTATACTAAAATGTTTAAACATTCAATTTCTTGTTTTATGATTTCAAGTTTCCCTTGATTCATGCTTCTCATATTCAATGTACCATTCCATGTTATGTTTTATGCTATAGACTTGTGGTCTGTGGACCGCTGGGGGCCACAAAGTCCTCATGGGGGTCTATGAAGGCTTGAAGAAATGTTATGACCTTTTGCAATTGGGAGGGAGGGAGGGAGGAAGGAAGGAAGGAAGGAAGGAAGGAAGGAAGGAAGGAAGGAATCTTAATTTCCCTTACTTGTTTGTGTAAAACTTGACTTTTTCTAACCTTTCACCTCTGTTAAAAACAAACAAAAGTAAAAATTGGTTATGAAAATAACTGTTTGAAAGCAAATAACTGTTTGATATTTCTGTACATGGTGAGAACATGCAAGTGAATTATGCTGAGTGGCTGATAGACAGCACGTGACATTTCTTGCTGTTGTGCAGAGAGTCAGTAGCCATGGGAAGAGAGAGAGAGAGTTGGAGTCAGTCAGTATCAGTGAGTGAGTATTCGGACAGACTTCATGATTGTGTTTCTTTGATTTCTGTTCATAAAGCCGTTTGGTTATTATAAAACTGTTTGGTCAGATAAAGTGACTTTTCAATATTATCACAGTGAATTTTGTAGCAATACATTTTGGCTGAGCCTCAGAATGGATCGCTAGCCAAATTTGAAACATAAAATAACTGATGATATTATATTACCAGCTGCAAAAATCATGGCTTCTGCATTGATCAGTGAGAAAGCTGCCAAGGACCTTTCCTTAATACCTTTGTCTAATGACACTGTTAAGAAGCAAATCAACTGTTTGTCAGGCAATATCAAGGAACAATTATTAGAAAGATTTTGCATGCCCCCCTACTTTGCACTTCAATTGGAGAACAGCATACATATAAGAGGCAAACAACCTTATTGTGCTATGTTAGATATGAGCATGATAGAAATGTTTTTGAAGATATATACTGTTCATCTCCTTGTTCATCTCCTTCAGCTGTACACACTACAGCTGAAGAAGTATGTAACAGCTTAAACAA